GAGGTATTTGATTTATGCTACAGCAAAGAAATGTACATGAGACTGCTCTTGAAAACAATCCCAAAATAGACATTAAACCCCTCATTTTTTCCTTAATCCTTGTCAAATAACAATTAATTTATGTCTCCCATAAATAGCAAAGGACTAAATACCTCCTAGAGCTGTCAGCAAGCACTAAACTGCCTTCACAACCTGGTGAATTATCTTATGCACACTGACAGCTGTACTGAGGTCTGAGAGCCCATCAGATCATCAGTGCCACAAGAACCAGCACTGGGTCTGATATAGAGGGGTCTGGGCTGATGATCAGTGCTGACAGGGACGACAGCAGTTGGTGCTTTTGCCTGTGCAGAGCAATTTTTATGTGAGAATCAGCATGGAATGTGATCACTTGCTAGCTGTTTTTGTCCTGGAATCAGTTCCATACCTCACTCCATGAATTACTTTGCAAAAAAGCAATAAATTCTGAGCCCAAGAGAAAAGCCAGGAGGTTAGAGAAGATGAGAAGAAGAGGAAAGGAGCTGAAGGAAAGCAGAACAGCAGAACCTCTCTCAAGAACACAGGCAGGAGATCAAGATCTCAGCTCTGCCTGGCAGTATCTTTATCGAACATTAGAGAAGACAAATGTAGGGCACATTACTAAGGGAAATCCATTGCAGGCTGAAAATTAGTTCCTACACCATGCACAGGTGGGCCCAGAGAGCAACAGCAGCCAATATTTGGGCTCAAGGCATAAAATTCCAAATCTCATACTCAGGGCAGGGTCTTCCCCTTGTCCCACAGCTGTAGAGGTGTGTTGTGTGCATGCAAGATCACAACAGAAATGTATCAGGAATGGAAAGGTAGTTCTGTCCATACTTTGTGAAGAAATAAGAAACTCCACTAAAAACCATGAAAAACCACTTACATACTGCTTCTCCAAAGCATCAAAACAACCTTGAATCCTGCCAGGAAAAAAACATGTTAACACTAACCAGCAATATTTATCTCCTGATCTGTAAACAAAGCACTCATTAGATACGGGTTAAAGTGCAGCTTTTCTGGAATGAAGACAACCCAGCTACAACACTTGGGGCTTGCAAAGTCTTTTTCAGGTCAATCAAACAAAGGCACCATCCTCCCTTCTGCATCTGCATTGTTTATACTTCTGGGGCGCTATTCTGTCAGCCCAGAGCCCACTGGACTCCTGACAAAGACAAGGACTGGAGGCTGAAGGCCACTCTAAGAGGCTTTCAGCTCAGTGCTCTGTTCCAGCTCCCCAGCCACAGCTCCAATGGCTCTTTTCCCATCAGCCTCGTACAGAGTTTGGCTGAATCTGAACAAGTCTGGTCTTGGACACTCCTGTTACCTGATGAAAAGTTTACGGCTATTGATTTTCTAGAAGCAGTAAACATTATCTGAAGTAGCAATGGTCAGACATTTACTCTTGGAGTCAAAGGATGTGCAGAGAGGTATCTGCTTAGCACATCAAAGTCAGTTTTTCTGCTTGCTGGGCACCTGCCAGCTCTGAAACACATCCTGAAGGAAGCTGTAGGGTACGTAGAGAGATAAAATATTGCACACACTGAAAAACAAGCAAAAAGAATCCCTATCAAAGTGAAACTAGAACAGACTAAACAACTACAGAATCGATCTCATGACTGTCTTTACCCTCTCTCCGTACCTACACTGCCGTGTGTGCTCTGGGGCCTGACCATGACCTCACTGCAGCCAACACTTCCACAGATCTTGAACTCACATGATCTCAGTCAGCTAATTCTGTGCTGCTGACGTGAGGCCAAGCACCCCCCGCGGCCGCGGGAGCTCCCCTGGCACGGCCGGCAGCGCCCCCGGGCACGATGTGTTCACATTCAGGAAGAAGAAGAATGCAGGGGCAGATGTCTCACTGCTCAGCACAATCTCCTGTTGGTTTCGTTGTTACTCACTTACCACTTGACTATCTGCAGTGATCCCAGACAGCTTTTATCTTCTCGGAGAATTTTTAGACAGAGGTCTGCAAAACCAGATTTAGCACATAGTTAAAAATCTTATCACAGTTCTTGGGCAAACACTGAAACTAAGCCAAGCAGCCTCCCTTTTTTGGACAAAACACTTTATCTGGAGGTCCTTCCTGAGCGGAAATGTTGGGTTTCCACCGAGTCCCAGGTGGGCTGACACAGGCTTATTGTTGCATTTGCTTTGCTCAGAAGTTTTGGGCTCTCCCAGAAGAAGTTCTGGGGTGATGGCTTAATTTGCAAACACCATCCTCTCCTTCCTGCTCTTCCCCACTCCATCATATTCCACCATTCCCTAACAACCCTTCTGCACTCAGACTTCACCAACATCGATATGAGGACTGTGCTCAGAACAAACCACTTCTGTTCAGTTTTTCCACACAGCTCTTCTCCCTCTCTTTCCAGGCATTCAGAAAGGCAAGAAGAAACCCATCCTGCAGGTGAGGTGGATTAATAACACCTTGGGAAACAACCAAGGGGCCCATGAAGGTGGGAGCAGACCAGATGTTAACATCCTCCATCAAAAAGGCACTTAAAGACCTGACACTGGATCACAAAGACCAGTGGCTGTTCAGGTTAGGGGATCAAGAGCCAATTTGGGATCTTCTGTGCCCCAACAAAGCCCACTAAGTGCATGTGACTGTGTTCCAGGGCAAATAATGCTGTAAGGGACTACAAGGAATTGGGCTGGAATACATGGAGACACTTCACACCTTGCCAATACACCTCAGTGAACATAAAGATATTGATGAACCAAAGCATCTTGGGATCTCAAGATAAGACTTTGGTTCTGAAAGTTCTTTTCATTTTCCTTAAAAAGTTCTGATTCCCAAAGCTCATGTGGTTATGTGAGCGAGTTTTCATGGAAAAAACCAAACCCTCAAACCCAACTGTTTTAAACTGAAAGAGGCAGGATTTGGATTAAAGTAAGAAGATTTTTACAGTGAGGGTGGTAAAACACTGGCACAGGTTGCCCAGAGAGGATGCCCCAACCCTGGGAGCACTCAAGCCAGGTCAGATGAGGCTTGGAGCAACCTGAGCTAGTGGAAGATATCCCTGTCCATGGCATAGAGTGGGACTGGCTGATTTTTAAAAGGTCCCATCCAACCCAAACCTTTCCATGATTCTATGAAAACAAACCAATCTCCTTTCAGTCTTGCAAGGCAAGCTGAAAATGTGAACCCCAAGGGCTCAAAAAATCCACAGGAAAATAAAACACAGAATGAATGTTAAAAAAGGATTGATTTTTAACTCACTCTGCTGACTCTGAGACCTGATTCATGGGGCTGGCAACGCCAGGGAATGATTATAAACCAACAGAACACTGACAGAAAAGCTCTAGGTTGTCTTCCATGCTCTCCATCTCCCTGATGCAGAGGCACTGTCTGTGCCCAGACTTGAGAAGGGCTGCAGCCAAGCCCCTAACAAACTGAACTCCTGTCTAAGAGCAGCCAGGAGCTAACATGTAAAGCAGACTACAGCTAAAATACAGTGAGCAGAAATCAGAATTCAGCCCAAACTGAGTGTTACCATCCAGGTAGCGCGTTCCATAGGAGCTCTCCGGGAACAGCCCCCGCATGTAGGTGATGCAGGACACGGAGATGGCCAGAAGCCTCTTCACCAGCACCACAGACTGCTGCTCTGTAACGCCACTGGGTAACAACAGTGCTTCCTGAAAAAGGAGGGAAAAGCCCCAAAGAGCCCCTTTTTAGTGTGCCACAGGGATTATGTTCAGAAACAACACTCAGCAGGTGGAAAGAGGGGAACTCAGACATGTAATTTTAATGTTTCTCTGGTCTTTGTGCTATGCTGGGAAGACTTGTGTCTTAGGTGGATGTGGTGGAATGATTTAAGAGTAGTGATCAACAGATCTGACATCACTGACTCAGATGCAGACTGCACTGTTTGGTCATTCCCTGCCCTTTATCCCATTCCCACCCGCTCTGCTGCACCAATACTGGCAATTCACAGACAACCACCCCTGAAAAAACAAGGTATAGTTGTACTTGTGGAGTCAGCCAAGTGCCAGGGCTGGTGCAGTACTCACTGCTGTGCCAAAGGCCACTGCCTGCCACAGCTGTTTGTGAGTCCTGACAGCAGCCTGAGCTGCCAAGGCTGCACACAGGTTTCACAGTGATTCTAACTGAGTTGTAAACAGCACATGTCTGCACCTGGAGCTAATGTAAATACACACTGGGTGATGCCAACATGAACAATGGCAGTGGACACTACATTAAATTCAGTTTTTCTATTAGTGCAGTGCTCTCCTTCCTCCTAATGAAGCTCTGTGCACACCTAATGAGCCTATATTTGTGGAGTCAAGTCATGTCACAGCCCCACGCTGTATCTCCCTGAACTCACTAAATTGGAAATAATCTAACTAAGAGCAGCTCAGAGAACAGAAAGTGTTCCCAGCTCCCCAGGCACAGGCGTGCCAGTCCCAGACTGAGAGCTAAGACTGTCAGCACCATCATATTTTAAGGTTATTACCTCAGGGGGCTTTATCTTCTGCCTGGATAGCTGCAGAGTAGCCATCCTGTATTTCAGAGACCTTCCTCCCACTTGTAACTAAACCCTGAAATAGAAAGAAGGTATGAGACACCTGGAAAACACAGTTATTGCTGTTTCTCATCTTTCTTAAACTAAGAATGAGATTCTTCAGCTTATTCAGGTCTGAAATCTAATTTCCAGCCAGGACAGCTAGAGCAAATCAAACCAAGGATACTCCATGGTACTGAGTCTGCAGAGCATGAAAACTCCCTGTGAAGGATTGATAGTGTTTGAAATTCAGGGCCACAACTGCACCTGGTGTCAGTCAGTGCCACTTCACAATGCATTTCTCATATTCCAAACCACAAATGTTAATTCCTACAACTATTACAAAGTGTGAAGGGAGGATGTGAAAGAACTGGAGGGCTGCCAATAGCAGCTAATACTTTAGCAAGGGTAAGCAGGAAACGCATTAACATGGGTCTTGGCTGGAATAAAGGAATGATTCTTCTGGGACACCTTGAAAGGAGAGAAAAAGGGGGAAAGAAAGAGTGAGAAGTCCAAATTGTTTTGGTGAAAACCTGTTAGACAAGCCTGGATTAAAGAGGAAAATATCCTTTTTACAAGAATGGAAAGCTGATTGATAAAGGCAATAACTGCCCACTCCATGTTCGGCACTTGGGTGAAGTGGTTGATTTAGCACCATCTGACACCCTGATTAAAAACTTCCATTAGCTGGAATTAACAAGGCACGAGCTAACCAGATTGAAAAATGACTCGCTGGGAGATCTCCACATCTCCCTGCTAAGGGGAGATGTTAATGAAAGGAAGCAGCAGGAGTAGACCCTGGAGGGATGTGCTGTCTGTGTCCGGTCGATATTCCCAGTAACTGCAGGAACAGCACAAACACAGCGGCTGGTTTGAATCCTGACCCAATGCAGCCTGTTAGTAACTCAGCTGAGTCAGCCTTGCTCTGCAGTGGTACCTTTTGTGCCCTTTTTCCCATAGATCCTCATTTCCATTTGTTGGCAGCCACTAGGACATGTTGATTGGAACATGGTGACAACTTTTATGCTAAATTTGGTGCTTCATCTAGTAATGAGGACAGATTACAGCTATAAAAGTATATTTAAACAAATACACACCTGCACAATTTTTAATGTGCTAAATATTTTGGCCAAGTGGCTGCTTTTTTTTTTTCTTTTCACCCAAACACTGCGAGCAGGACTGGAATGTAATCAAAGCAGACAAAAGTGTTATTCTGACCTGAGGTTATTAGCCAAATTAAGCTGATTGAAGTGAGACAAAGAGACAGGAAAGCATGTTTTGTAAACCATACCACAATAATATTGATTCATTGTGGAGGAAACATCACCTAGACTGAGCTAACCCACTCCAGCCTGGCTGTTCAGGTGCAGGACTTCACCACCAGTGTCTCACCTGGGCTGGAGGGGACACTTCTGTCCTGGCTCTCCACTGCTCACCCACTCTGCAGACACTTTATCACCAAACATCAGGAAATCGGCATGAAATGGGAAAAAACAAACC